ATCCTGATCGAGTATAGATTCATGGAACGTCAAAATCCTAAACTCGATCTTCTACCGAATCATCGATCAATATGTCCGAAACTTATCATCATGAACTTGCTTTCGTATGATTAATAATAGACTCTAGCCAGAGATTCTGATTTTTGACATTTATCGACATTCGTCCAGGAACTCGAATACGGATGAAGTCAGCGGTACTCTTGATCCTATATTTCTGAGTCAATGGATCCTTTCTTGACCATCGTTCATTTCTGCATATAAACAACGCACGACCAAATAGGCTTTATCATATGAAAAATGACTAGTCTCGTACTTATACACCGTATGAACCATATGTATCCGTATCGGATCTGACCATAATGTCTCAGGTCAAAAGACTACATCATGCACTGATATAACTAAATGATAAATCATTGACTACATGCTTTTCCAAGTGATTTGTCATCATTCGGTCACGTTCGAAAAACAGTTCACCAATCGCTAATCCATACTAATGCCCCAGTGACATGACTATCATCATCATTCATACTTTTATCAACTCATGATATCTTTTGGAAGCATCTAGTATGCCTACTATGCACTATAGTTGCCCAAATTATATTGCTTCCGTAGGGAACTCTTTGATCGACAACACGAATGATTTCTAGGGCATACACTAACATATCTTGAGTACCTATCCATAAAGCCAAGTAGTGTGTTTCTGATTGTCGCATCTACTAGCTGGTCGATCTGTGGTAGCAGAAAGCTGCCTTTGGGATAGACTTTATTTAGATCGTTAAAGTCGACACAAGTTCGCCACTTATCATTCGACTTCTAAACCAGGACCGGGTTGGCAAGCCAGTCTGATACTTGCCTTCCTTGATGAAGTTGATTTTTAGGATTTTGTCAACTTTATCCTTGAGCGCTTGTGAGCGCTTTGCATCTATAGACCTTCTTTTCTACTTTATGGGTCGAGCTTTGGGGTCGAAGTTTAACTTGTGACACATTACCTCGGGGCCTATCCCCACCATATCCATATGCACCCATGCAAACATGTTGAGGTTTTTTTTTAGGAACCCCACCTGATTATCGGCCATTTCTCTGCTCAAACTGCTGTTGATTTTTAGTATGCAAGTTGGATCTTCCTCGCTGACACTTATTTCTTGCAGTTCTTTTATCGGCCTTGCTGCAGGTTTTTCTCTATAGATGCGAGGATCTATAGTATCCTCGAGTGGCCGAGGGTTTGGCTTGGATTCTGCCATAACCATTGTTCTTAGGAGTGGCCACCTTTGTGCTATATGTATGGCTCAGTTGTAACATTCCCGAGATTCCTTCTATAGCTCCTGATCATCGCAGCCCTCTCGGGAGTCAAAAACCTCATTGCTTGGTAGCGCACTGATGTGATTACGCTCAAGTCATCCAAGATCGCCCTTCTGAGGATGACATTATACGTGGTAGGGTAGTTTACCACTAAAAATTCTGCCATCACCGTCTTGATCTTGGGCTCCGTCCCCAGAGTCACAGAGAGGTCAATCATCCCTTTGGGAACTAGGCTATCCCTAGTAAATTTGTAGAGCAGCGAAGGGTATGCCCTTAGGTCTCTTTCTGTAAACCTTATTCCCCAGAAAACTTCCAAGAAAATGATGCTTGCTACACTCCCATTATTGACCATTACCCTTTGTACTCAGGCATTACTGATTTTGGCTGCATTTACGATCACATCATGATTGTGGCGAGGGGATTCTTTGCATTCCTCGATTGTGAACCCTATTTCTGGCTCTTTTGTCTAGGTCGTTTGGGCGGCTTCTATTCACAGCTCATTATCCGGGGGACTGAGTTTGTCCTTGCCTCTCGGGCATACTACTCACGAGCATGCCTTGAGCTCCCTACTATGTTGGGCCCCCCGTAGATCATGTCTACCCAAACTTTGTTGTTGGCATTTGGCGAGGCTTGCTGGACCTGGTTCTGGGCTTGGTTTTAGTCCTGGCTCTAGATCTGGTTATTTTGCTTGCCAGGATTTTTGCGAGTTGGTGCCGTCTTAATGAATTCTTTTAGTTGACCCCTTCTTATCAGGTCTTCAATGGCATCTTTCAAAGCCTGACACTTGTTTGTGTTGTACCCGACATTCCGGTGGTATCGAAAATACTTTTGCTGATCTTTTCTGCCTGGAGCCTCCTTCATTCTTTCTGGACCAGGCAGTCTCTTCGCCTCACGAGAGATTTCGTAGATGTGGGCGATATCTTGAGTGAGGGGGTGTATTCCGCATACCGTAGGAAAGACTGACTGTCTCTACAATTATCTGTTCTTTGTCTTTTTTGGAACTTGTTGTGATCCCTATTATTACAATCTTGACCCTTACGCTTATTCGATGGGCGATCTTATCATCTGTCCTGGACCCCTCATGCCAAACTTCTGGCCAATACTGCCAGCAAGTTTTCTACCTGTTGGTGTTTTGCAGCCATTTGGCAAAACTTGGCCAGGCTTACGTGATCTTCATTTTGGAGCTCTTTCCATAACTTCATGTTTGACCTGATCCCTACAATCAGCAAAGTTCGGATAGACTCCTCGGGTGCATCCGTAACCTTTGCTCATTCTAGAACCTTGTTAAGTACGAGGTTAATGTTTCGTCTCTCTCTTGACGAATGTTGCTCAAGTAGCTAAGCGACATTGCGAACTATCTCCTCGCTTGAAATTGTTGTAAGTACAACGAGGATAATTATCGCCAGGAGTTGATAGAGTTCGCCTTGAGTCTCTTATACCACCTCTTAGTATCCCCTACTCATGTGAATGCAAAGCACCTACACTTCGCCAAGTCAAAGACCTAGTGCAGCTCCATCAGGTCATTGAAATTATCGAGGTGGTCTTTGGGGTCACCTCTCCTGTCGAACTTACTCTTTGGTACCCTAAATCCTTGTGGAAGTGGGGCTTAGCGAACTTCCTCTGTAAAGGGGGAGCTTACTATTTCCTCTGCTATGCCATTCTGGTAGGCTTTCAGATCGTTGAGCATTCTCTACATGCGATCTAAGTCTTCATTTTGGTTGCCCTGACTGGCTTTGTTCAGCCTCACTTCGAGCAAATGAGTTTGCAAGTCTGTTGCCTACGAAGCCTCCCTTTTATGCGCATTGATGCGTGAAGTTGAGTTATGATAGCTAGGCTGATAAGTGCTATCATGCTCAACGGTTCGTTGCTTGCGACATTGGTTATAACTGGAACGTCGGTCATTGCCAGATTGGTGCACATGGCTTGTCTTGCAAGTTGGCAGGGATCGATCTTGCCTTGGGTGTGGGTTAATATCGGCATGCTAACACTAGGGATATCACCGAGCATCTCGGGGATGACTGTTGCCTTCACTTTCCTCTAGTGGTTGCTTCCTTGGCCGCCTCCCGGGGTTAGTTTGCCCACGGGACTCACGCTCGTGAGCAGAGTGTAGTTTGCAATGTCGGGGGCATTGGCCACCTTTTGGCATTGATGAATCAGACTGGCCACTTGTAGAATTCATACCTGTTGGGGTGGCACTGGTGAAGCACTGCTGGTTGAGATTCTGGGCAATTGGTTGCTGATTCCTCAACTCAGCCACGTTTTGTTGCACCACCTGTGTAACCATCGTTTTGATCGTCCCCACCAACTGGCCGTTTTCAAGGTTTGACGTCCATGTCCCCTGGTTATTCGTGACGTGCTGAGTTGGTGGCACAGGTGGTTGGCGTCCCGCGATGTCCTATTGTACCTCCTAGTGGGTGGTCTCCACATTCTCAAGGTTTTTGGTGGTGGTCTTTAATCTGGTGTGCACCATTGTGGGCTTGGATTGGGTATGTTGTTATGACTGTTCGTAAGAATTGCTGAGATGTTGGCGGAGGGCTCTTTTTCTAGTGCCAAAATATTGATACAGAAATCTTCACCAACTAGAGAATTCTGATCGACCTTGGTAGGATCGGAATAGATGTGTACGTGATTACGGATAATCAGCGATTGACAAGTATTGAATACAATAAAGTAAATGGAATGAGAACTTTTAAAGTCGTTCGGCGAGATAAACTCTTAAGCCTATGTCTACTACTTTTTGTATTTGCTATGAGAGCTTACAATGAGATGTTTGTGAAAATTTTGTAACCCTTTTTCCATCATTTGAGGAGGTTTATATACAAGGTTTGTACAAAGGAAAGAGCGAAAATAAAGGGATTACAACTGATCTGAACTGCAATTCCTATATTCTTGCGATTGGACGCTATGATTGTGCAAAGATTGCTGTTGATCTAGTCATTCTCACGATATCTGGGATCTGAAGTTATCTGGGAATTAGTTGAATGATCATTTGGGTTGTTCACGACTGACTTGTGTTGGGTCGAGCTATATGTCGACGAGCTTAAGCTGGGTCGGACAACTAGTGGAGTCACACTGATCCTGGGTTGAGCTACATTCTCGTGGTAGCCCGAGCTTGGTGGAAAAATCACACACATGTATGATTTCTTTTTCTCCTTTAGTTAAAATTCTTTGTTTAAATTGCATTGCAAAGCACCACACTAAAATGATAATATATACATAATTATAAATTGTATACCTCCAAACATCTTGAAAAGGTTATTACAGTCATCTTAATTCATATATGAATTTGCTAATTTCATCTGAACTTCTTTAGTTTCTTCTTATGTACGTGTAAATATGACTTAAATTACAAATCCAGTCCAAGTTTGAATAATATGAACAAATGTAGAACCACCCAATGCATGAAACACCAGCTTGAGATCTCCAGGCTGCAATTTACAGGATAGTTTATAAAAAAATATTACTAACAAAATAAACATAATTGCTCAAATAAAAAAAAATACGTAAGACCGAAACAAATCATTCACCACATCCAGTCTTAGTTTATAAATTGGTTATTCTATTCACATTTTATCAATTACTTGTGTTAGATCCAAATATCAATATTGGGTTATTATCAGATAATAAGTAGTATAAGTTTTTAGATCATCTGGTTACTTACTAGTTACCCGACTCCTCATCTTCTCTTGGTTCCTTATTCATTAGATGCCAACATTTAATTCCTACATAAACAGCAAAAGCGTCTTAAAAAATGACCAAATCAAATTAATTCATCAGGAAAATATATGGTTCATTTAGTCCATAATAGCATTTAGAACTATATGTACAAGAGAATGAAATTAGATTGATTCGTAATACAAAATAATTATGATATTATCAAATGTTTTTAAAAAGTAAATCATATCATAATAGTTCTGTAGAGTTACCGGTTTCTAACTTTCAGCCACCGCATGTGTATAAAGTCACTGAAGGCCGGCCTGGGACGATTCGGATTCCGAAGAATACGGTTATGGAAGCAGATCTTAACCTCTCTACGAATCCGCCACAGTAGCCTTTCTATAAAATTCTTTTCACCATATATTATGAACGGCTTAAAGTACTGAACTTCTTGTTTTTGGATTTGATATTGTTCACTTAAAACAAGATGTGCCATCAAAAGACATACATGAGTGAGTAACTCTCCACCATTCATAAGTTGTTGACCATGCGGTCTCCATCCACAATGACTTGCAGCATAAGTTAACATTTCTATCCATACGTCACTTATCATTTTCCATTTTCTTTCTTCGCTCCAACCAAGATTGGATTCCAATTTTTGCAATTGGTTAGCAAGTCTGCATCCATAAAACAACAATGATAGGCTTCTGCCTCCCTTAATTTTTTCCAGTGAATCATCGGTTTTCACCTGAAGTAGTGACTCACAAGCTTTACTTATTTCACTAAAGGTTCCGAACCTTTTTCGTTTAAAAAATTTCATAGCCTCCGCACAAGTTTCTCTATACCTGATCTCCCCAATTCCTTTGGGCAACATGATTGGACATACGACCAAAAGATACAACATGTAATCTGAAACGCATTTGCTAGTACTGCATAGTTGAGAAACTTCTTTAATAATAAATCCACGTTTCTGGTAATCGTCATAATAACAAAGATCAGTAGCAATGTGCCAAAGAAGGAGGCTGTGATCAAATTCTACCTCAATTGTGCTCCAATTCAATGCATCAAGACCATATATGTGAAGCACATTATCTCCTCTCTGAGCCAATAATTCTTTGCATAACTTGATATTGAAAAGATCACCTTCAATTCTTTTGGCTTTCTCTACGAGTTGCCTGAAGATCGATTCCCTCAAGTCAATTTCGACATCATCCCAAGTCAAATATTGGTACTTCTCTATCGTTTCTTTAACTCCGATTAATTTCTGAACTCCAGCAGTTTTGGTTGATATGTCTTGGAGACAAAAACTAAATAGGTTGTACTGACCCACGGATCCAGACCATCTTTTTTTTCTGTCATGTAAATCATAAGGTGTATCGTTGGAAATAAGATTATGTGTGCACAACCAAAGCTTCGTCCAGTCGGAAAAAAGAAGTATGATGAACGCATAAATCTCCAGAAAAATAGCCCCAACTAGGAGTGAACAAGTTATGGAGATGTCGATTAGCGAATAGGCATGCTTTTCCATAATGAAGACGATGATTAAGAAGATAACCGATACAGAAACATGGGAGAAGAAGTAGAAGCATCGAAGAAAGATGCCGAATCCGGAATAAATTGTGCTCGCCTTGGTGTAGAGCACATCATACATGAATCCAAGCTCAATCGCTACCAATTTGAAGGCCTCTTTTGCTGACTTTTCGTGAATGAGGGAGTAGCTCTCTTTTCGTTCATAATGATCAAGAATTAGGTCTGCGAAGAGACACCTAAATCTTTTGAACAATAAATCAGCCACAACAAGATAATGATCGATCTTTTGCGTTGACCTATCCTGTCCATCACCGGATTTTATATGATTGATCTTTTGCTTTGACTTGTCCTGTTCATCATCGGATTCTATATGATCGATCTTTTGCTTTGACTTATCCTGTCCATCATCGGATACAACTACTTTTGGTTCGCCATGTTCCATTACTTCCCCAAAATCTGGGCCAGTGTCATGAGATGAGCGCAAAGAATTTTTAAGTTGCTGAGCGCTCGAAAACCAAAGCACCAAACTCCTCTCTCCATACTTTACAATTCCAGTGATAAATATTGGAACAGCTATAAATCTGAGGATTGTATTGTTGTTCCAAGACCGTATCATGACATAAATTGCTAGTAGAACCTGGATGACAAGTCCAAGAAAGTGTCTTAACCACAACTCATTGTCTTCTAGAGAGTACGCCGTGATAGTATCTGGGCCACCAAGGTGCAAGAGAAGAAATGGCGCCCACAATGCCTGTAGCTTATTGTTTGATTGGAAAGACATACTATCATGATCTACTTGGTTGCGAGCAAGGTTTCCCAGAGCAACTGTTGCCACCCAGTCTGCTGTCAAGTATGCTAACCAGACAACGAGAAATATCTGAATATTTCTAGTATATTTTCGTCTGGAACCAAATATGACAAGGATGATTTGTAAGAAGAGGCTCAATAAAACCATCACTCGAATTTCCCATTCGTTCCAAAGTTTCGTTACTTCTTGTGAAAAAGGTTTCATGGCTATCATCTTCTAGATAGAAATCGGACTGCATGCAGATGAAAAACTATATTTAAAAAAAAAAAAAAAATTGTTGATAATTTAAATGTAATGATTAGATAAGTTGTTATATGTATGTGAATAATTAAGTTTAAAAAGATGTTTGATTGAATAGAAAATAGAATAAGAATTACATCTTTCAAAGTTGAACTCAAGATAAATCATAACCCAAAAACAGAAAACAAAAAATGCTTTGATTAGAGAAGATGATCTACACAACTTCTATAAATTAACAAGACAATGTGTCAATTAATAGATTTCTAAACTAAGAATGAAAATTTGGCTGATGAAAACAAGGTTTCACACAAGATATTGAGGATCAGGGAATAAAAATTGTGAGGATTCAAGAATTCTATTCCAGACAAAAAAGGAACGGGGCTATGTTACAGTATTAGAAAATGTAGAAACTAAGTCACTAAGATACTACTATCTCTTTAATAACATGAAAAAAAATATAGTTGAATATTAATATGAACGGTTAAAGATCAATCCCAGCCCATTACAAAGTCCAAATTATCAGCCCAAGGAAAATGAAAGCCTGGTCTGTAATACCCCGTAGTTTATGGAATTTTATTAAATTTGATTTGGTGATGTTTGGGGGGATTTTGAAACTTTTGAGGGAGTAGAGTAATAGTGGAAACAAATGAGGACTAAACTAACTTTTCCAGAATATTTTGATGAATAGTGTTCGCTCAAAATAAGTGGCGGAGAAGAAGAGAAAGAAGACGGGGGAGAAGAAAGGAAAAAGAAAAAAAAAAAAAGGAGAAGAGAAGAAGAAAAAGAAAAAAAGAGAGAGAGAAAGGAAGAAGGAAGAAGAAAAGAAAAGGGGAGAAAGAAAGATTATTTCAACCAAGGAAAGAAGAAAGGAAGAGAGAGAAAGAGTGTTGGCCGAGTGAGGATGGAGGAAATCTCATATTTTTTTCCTACATTTTGTTGGAGAAGAGAGGAAAAAGATGCTTGAATTGCTTCCAATTTTCGGATTGAGCTAAATGGTGAGTGGATCAAACTAGAGATGGCAATGGGCTGGGCCCTTGGCCTGGGCCTATAACGCTCACATCAAGGTACGTAGCTTTATTTATGTCTTAATACCCTTAGTTGAATCTTGATAGAGTTATCGTAGACAAGTGTTAAGGAAATTTTTTAAAATGTTATTAGGGGTAAAATGGTCATTCCACTCATAATTAGATGAAAGAGTGGGGAATGAAAATAAGTAGAATAATATGGAGAAGTTAATAAAAATGGAGGCATTCTTGTAATTGACTAAGGAACATAGATGAAATTTTTGGAAAGTGCAAGGGTAAAATGGGAAACTAATATATATTATTATGTAGTAATAAGAGTTCAAGAGTTGAAACCCTAGCCACTCCACCCATTATTCATGCCACCTTCACCCCGAATTCTCTGAAATTTCTTCACTAAATTTCCAAGGAAATTCATAGGATTTTGGCTAGATTTTGATAGATTTTCAATCCTAAGCATTCAAAGGTAAGATTCTTGCACCAAGATGTGAGATTAAATTTTAAAAGTTTTGAATTCTTATGGTTTTATATGCTTAGGGTTAAGAGGAAAGGAAATTCTACCAAAGAGAGATTATAGTGTTGGAATTGCTCAAAATTCAAGATAAGTAAATCCAACTTCAGCTTTGATTGAATAAATACTTGTGTAAAGAAATTTCGTATATGTTGTATGTGTGTTTGGATGATGAGAATTATGGATTGAAATTGAGGTTGTTTTATTTGTGAATCTTATGGCCATGAGAAGTGATGTATTTGTATTTGTTCAGTTGATGAAATATGAAAGAATGAATGTGGAAGGGTGGAAGGTGAAATTCAGCTAGGGTGGTTGTTGGCCTTAGGGAGCTTTTGCTCCAACTTTGGTGGCTTGAGAAATATGTGGAAGTGTAACCAATTTAGGGTTTGTATGTACATGTAAAGTGTTTGATGAAATTTCAAAGAAAGTGCATATATATGAGTATGTTAGATTATTACTTTGTTATGCAAATGTTGTTGGTAGAGAATACTGGTTCCATAAAGATATCTTTAAATGCCATAATGCATTCTTACATTCTTACATTTGCATTTAGAAAGAATAGCAAAGAATGAGCATATTTACATGCACATATACATGTATGAGAACATTAAAGAATAAAGAGAAAAAAAGAAAAGAAATTAATTGTAGAATCATTATCTAAAGAACATAATTAAAGAATACCTCAAATCTGAAATTTTATTTAAAGAAATATAAAAAGCTAAGAGAAGAGAAGGTTGCTGCGATGGGGAACCCCGTGAGTGACAGAGAAGAAGAATATCCCCCACATGCACGCCGCCTTTAGTGAGCAGCTTAAGAATAAGAAAGAAGAATTTGTACAGTCCGTAAGAAGTGCATGTGGATGAGGACTGTACCCAAGAAAGAATTTGAGAAAACACTCACACGGCCAGGGTTCCGAATCCATGGCTCAACCGAGTCCGATCGGCAAAGAAAGAATAGAAAAGAAAATAAAAGAAAGAAAGAATAGAAAAGCAAGAAAGAATAGAAAATAAGAGAAACAGAAAAAGAAAGAAAACAGAAAACAAAATGAGGAATAGAAAACAGAATAAGAAAACAGAAAAACAGAAAAGAAAATGCATTGCATAGAAAAATTTTCTGCTTTTGTGCATATGCATCAATCATTTCTACTACCCCAAGTTAGTTTCCCTATTTGTGCTTACATATCAGTAAGTGAGAAACTAGAATCTTAGAAAGAGCAGAGAAGAATTGAGAAGTTTGGTGTAAGAAAAGAAAATCCAAGATCTGAGTAACGAAGAAAGAATAGAAGTATTGTAGGTTTACTTATTGAGCAATTAGTGCTTACTCTGTGATTCACTGTTTTTGCAGGTAATAGATGAGATGCGGTCGGGAGGAACGTCAAGTAGCAGAGGAGAATGGCACCACTGTCCAAGATTACTTTGTACTTATTTTTGTGTCTTTATTACTTGATGTAGAGATTTGTATATAAAGTTAAATTTATTTTGGGCTTACTATTACATTCTTATATACATATATGTTTTCTATAACATGTTAGTGAGTTTTACTTATATTTTTCTAAAGAACTACTAGCTAGACAAAATATTACAGGGCCCATCTCGACCTCCATGACATTAGCCTGTTCCCGTTACGGGGATGGTAGGTAATGCCCAAGCTCGGCCTGATGGGGATTCTATAACCCCCAGTCTCTGGCTCGGTCCCCTACCTCTCAGGCATTCTAGTTTTGGAAAAAAAAAAAAAAAAAAAAAAAGCTTTATTCCTTTTACGCATATATTAAAATTACAACAAATCTATATTACAGTCTCTCAATTCAATTTATTAAATGCCTTTGTTCAAGGGAAGTAAAGTAACATGTATTAAAATAATTCTAATTTCTTTCGCTTTATATTCCATCATTTGACTGATATTGATGATTAAGTATTGATAATGGCTAATGTTAGGGCCAAAAATCGTCTTGGGCTTGACGGGGCCTACTAACGAAATAAACATGTCACGGCCCAAGGTCTCAACCCAATCCCGATTGGGCCCACGCTTAAAATCATCTTGCGACCTACCCACTCTATGAGTTGGGCTATCCTATAAGTTAAGCTAAACTGGGTTTCAGCCCATTAGCCTGCAACAGAGTATAAATAGGAAATCAGAATCTCATTCTATTTCCTCTTCTACTAAGATTTCAAATCTCACTCAAACTATTAAACTTGATCTGATAAGGTCAAAAAATCATATCTCTTTCATGATAGGGATTATCTCCCAAAATAGGACTTAGTGTCCTACTAAGATTCCAACTCTTATTTAAACTATTAAACTTAATCTGATAAGGTTAAGAAATCATATCTCTTTTATGGTAGGGATTATCTCCCAAAAGAGGACTCAATGTCCTACTAGGATTCCAACCCCTTAGGTTCACTATAAAAATAGAGGCTTGCCCTCTCATTATGGATGCAATCTCTCACAGTCAATCTACACCACTCAAAACCATCTATTTGCTCCTAAGTTCTTGCTCCCAAGAACCCGACGCCTCCGCCGTAGTCCTAGCCTCCGACAAGACTCCTGGTAATTCTTCTTCTCCTTAATTCTTATTAAATCTCTTTCAGCCTTGCTGACTTGAACATCGGAGTGCCTACGGCAAACACCACCTCGGTGTTTTCCGGAAGCTTCACGCTTGCCCTTTCATGTGTGCATGTCTAGCGGATTGTCAGTGGCCTCAACCTCATGGGATCAGACCCTATTTTTATGACAGTAGATTTTTTGCATCTACAGCTAATTAATTATTTTTTTCATTACAGAGAGGACGCAACCATCATAAATGCTAAATTACAATATGATAATTCATCATTCAATATTATATACTTTGAAGATGATATTGGGAAATAGATAAGAAAAAGAGATTGAGAATTGAGTTAGAGAAATGGAATGAGATTATCTTGTTTACTAAGAGTAGGAAATATGGAGGAAATAGAATGAAAGATACGATATATGAACAAAATATCCTTAAATTTAGATAATTTTATGTTCACGAAATAACATACTGTAAGACTGAAAAACAGAGATTGAAAGAGTTCTAGAAACATTCAGAACTTGTGAACTTTTCTCATTGATTTCAGTTAATTCAAGCTGAAATACATTTGCGTTTATATACAAAGAATAGAGTAAACCCAGCTTAGTGATAAAGAGTAAAGTGTTTCTTTACAAAACGACACCGTTAGCACATTTCTTCACTTGCAATTTTACAAAACTGCCCTCCTTACAGTCTGGCTAACATTCCCCCTCAGACTGGACTACGGTTGCTAGATTTTCTTCAAGACTTTAGTTTGTTGTCTTCAGCCATTTCCTTCATATGTGGAATCTGCACTTTCTCAAAACATAGCTAATTCCTACTGACATAGAAGGAAGCTTACAGAACGTTTCTGCCATACTTCTGCACTTTCTTAAAAACA